GTGTATTCTTATTTGGTTTTGCTTAAATTAGCACAAGCATAAAATCTTCGAATTCTTAGAAAAAATTTGTGGGAGTGATACGAAAGAATACGAATACACTTCCAAAAGAATGATAAATGATTGATGCCGTAATGTGCATGAAACTATATAACTATTGTTCATAAAATTGTTGAATTGTATAAATGATATAATTGTGTTTTGTAATGTAAACATTACTGAAAAAAAAAACAAATTATACTATTTTTAGCCACAAATTAAATTTAAATTTTGACAAAATAAATTTTCAGGGTATTTCATTTTTTCATTGTTTTTTTTATTTAACAACATACAAATATAAATCATATAGTATCACAATACAATAATAACATACATCACTAAATATCAAATTTTGATTTTTCACAATTTCATTATATTATTGATTATCACATAAGATTGGAAATAGAACGTCATTTCTAGTCCTGTATCTACTAGTAACAAAAATTGGGAAAATTCCCAAAAAACATCCGAACTTAGTTGCATTTGCTGAAAAAATACTCAAATTTTTTTGGCTACCCGATAAATACACCAATTATTTAAGATTGTTCTTTATATACTCAAACTTTTAAAATGTGTTGGTTTTACTACCTCGACATTAACTGTGTCAATCTGACTAACGGAAGTACTGTTTGCTACAGTACCTTCTTCTTTCCCAAATCGATTTTGGGATTTAAGAACCCTAAAATCCCAAATTGATTTTGGATTTCAGTTGTATATGTTTCATGCGACCATAAACGTGACCAAACTTGGAATCTATGGACTTTGCCTTTTATGAAACTAAAGGAGAATATATTCCTGCAAACTTTTTTAGATTGTTATCATCTCACTTTCGCCAGTATGTATTCAAGAAATTTAAATATCATTTCGCAAATAAAAATTTAAGGGAATTTCAATTGAAATCCAAAATCAATTTGGGGTTTTAGGGTTCTTAAATCCCAAAAATCGATTTGGGGAAGAAGAAGGTATTGTAGCAAACAGTAACTTCTGTTAGTCAGATTGACACCGTTAATGTCGAGGTAGTAAAACCAACCCATTTTAAAAGTTCGAGTATATAAAGAACAATCTTAAATAGTTGGTGTATTTATCGGGTAGCCAAAAAAGTTTGGGTATTTTTTCAGCAAATGCAACTAAATTTGGATTTCTTTGGGAATTTTCCCAACAAAAATTATATATATGTATATTGTGTTAAAAAAATTATTTTTTGTTTAGTACAACAACTAATATTGTAATCAATACGAATCTGGTCAACTCAATGCGATTCCCAATTACATCCAGTTAAATAAAAACCATTCTTATTTAAGTTAAAGTGTTACAAGGAACAAGAAAGTTAACCTGAAAAACTCGATCTGTTAGAAGAGTACTTCGTCTTCGTTTCATCCTTAGGTTCAATCTTAATTAGATCCCCAAATTTTTAACTTCAAAGAATACTTTGTTGAATATTTTTCTCCTTACTTTGTTGAATAATGAAATATGTGGGCGACAATTTTACTTGTGGTTATGATTAAATGCATGATAAACTAATGAAAAGAATATTCCATAGTGTGGCATCAAAATATTTGATGAAGACATGGGGCCAATGGGTTTGCCCATCAATTATATATAAGTTTCTCATCTATTATATGTAGCCATCAGTTTCTTTCTTTAATTGTTTGCCCATCAATTATATTTTAAGCTATAATTGTACTTTTCGATCAAAAAGAAAAAAAAAAAGCTAATTGTACTTAATTACAAGTTGTCTCCAAGACATGAAGCTCTTCTTAGTACAAACTTTTTTTTCCTTTTTGTTTTTTTGTTGATAAAGATCTTAGTACAAACTTAAGTTTATCACCGATAAAACCCACATACTAATAACTTTGAAACAGATTTTTTTCTATGAATTAAATCTCCAAACTCTATCTTAGAGAGAGAAAAAGTACATAAACTGTAGTTTAACCATATCCTTTCAAATATAAAGTACTGAAAGAAATTTGGAGAATGGCGATGCTGAATGAATAGGTGTTGACTTTTTATCAGTGAAATAAAATAGAAATTTTCATAAGAATTTTTGTACTTAAAGTAGTTATAACCAATGTTGAGTAGGTTTTATATTTTTTTTGTAAATGAGATACTAATAAGTTCGAAAAAAGAAAATATAATATTAGAAATTCAATCTAAACTAAATTTCTCTACCATATTCAGTGATCATAAGACCATGAATTGGAAGTTCTTACATAGTCTCTAAACATTAAAAAAAAAAATATGATAAAGGATGAAGGAGAATGAGAGTCGGACTTACGTTTGCGAGGTTTAGAGATAAATATTAGAGACTCATCTTACTATTTGTCATGTTCTAAGGACATCATTATCCATGATACTTTTGTGGTATCATGGAATATAAAATTATTAAAATTTGAGTAAAAGGAAGAAAGAGAGTGTTTTTGATTGAAATAATGGGTGTATTGAAATATAAAATTAATAAAATTTGAGTAAAGAGATGAGATAGTTGATATTTTTGGAGAGAGAATATCAAATAGTGGATACTTTTGATACTTTTGAAGTGTGTTTTTAATAATTTTATATTTAAAYAGAGTATAAAATTAATAAAAATTGAYTAAAAMGATGAAAGAGAAMGTATAAAGTTGAGTAAAAYGAAYAGAGAGTGTGTGTTTTAATAATTTTATATTTAATGATATCCATAAAAGATGATGGATAAGGATGCTCTAAGTAGTTGAGAGTTTTTATATAATTATATATATTTAGTTATCTTAAAAATAAGAATATTTAATTAAGTATATACTCTTTCTAAAGACTATGTCGATGTACATGCTCTAAGACATAAGAATTTGATGTAAGAGCTATCTTATTTTTTGTTAAACGTAAGAGCTATCTTCCTTGTACTAGCTAGGTATAAAATGTGTAACACGGTTTACGAAAAAAACGAAAAGAGTAACAGAGACCTTTTTCTTGGAAACCTTTTTTCTTTCGTATATTTTTTTATAATTCAGGATAGATCCCAAACCTATGGCCTAGACTAATTTTTGGGGAATGTGCAGTCCATAGATAGATCTTCTCTCCGGATATTCAAATGGGCCGAAAGCAAGACCCATATCTATGTAGATGTCCAGGATAATGTGATTTAGTTTCGCGTAGCAGGTGGATCGAACCTGAAACGTGTTGGCGTCTCAGTCCCGTCTCCTTACCACAGTGTCCCGAACTTCTTTCGTATTTTTCATCACCTTTGTCTCAATTTTATAATTTTAAAAAGTTGATTAAGAAATAATTAATTAAATTACTGTTTGAAAAAATTAGAAAACAGTATAAGAATTTTAACCTTTTTTTTTTCCTACTCGTTTTTACTCCCAAAACGTGGTGTCATGATGCATGAGGTTCAACAACATGCATGTTAACAAAGATAAATAAAGCGCCTACTTATTAATTAATCAAACATTTTTCATGAAAAAAGAAAAGGAAAAGCACAAAGATTGGTCAGGATTGAAAGCCACCATTAACTTTTCTTGGTTGCACACAAAGATGAAGTTAAAGGAGTTGTTTAAAGCCACTAAAAGGAGTCTTTTCTCCTTTTCATTTTCGCTTTAGCCAATAGCCAATTTGGATGAGTGTGTGACTTTCCTAAATCAGAATTTTAGAAGAGGATGCATCATTTCATGAGAAAGCACGTGATTTACGTAAATAGAAAATATTTTTTCTTCAATCAGAGGATTTAAGAGATCGAATGATGTTTCACTTCCCACTTGACAAGCCCAAGCCCCTTTTTTATGGTATTTGAAACCTTGTGTTGAAGAGAGACTACACAATATTGACTCATACCAAAATGTAGGATAAATCTTTAATCAGACTGATCAACAAGCTTGTTAGAAGATTGTGAAATCGTTCTTTATATGTTAACAATGTATAATCTGAAAGACCTATAGAGAACGAACACAATAATATAAATGTAGTAAAACAAAGGAAAGAAAACAAAATTGAGTCTATTAGAAAACATATTTTCTTATATATTCCAATCTTTTTGTGGAATAGAGAAATGAACGAAAATATTTGTTGTAAATCGGAGGAAAGAAGAGTAATAGTTTCCATCAAATGACATAGTATGTATAAAAATCAAAAAAATTCCAAGTGAAAAAAGAGGTTGAGTTCTATAGAAAATATATCGCCTGAAGAAGGATCTTGGATACTAACATAGTAACAACACCTAAGTTAATCGAATGTGCCAGTTAGTCGACAAACGAATTCTTAACATGAATAATTAAAGACGGTTATTTAGAGTATTTATATTTGTATATATTTTTTTTTTCGAAAATGAAAGGTCAGATGGTTAATTTGAACACACAATATAAAATAGATACAGTTTAGTGTATATAGAGATTTCAAACATAAATAACTCTAAATCGTGAGTATCTTGTCCATTAAACATACCCAAATTTATAAGGATAAAAGTGGTTATTATGCTAAATCATGATAAAAGATTGTATGAAAATAAAGTTTC